AACACCCACCATTAGTGTTAAGAGAGTTGGGTGCAGGCCTGGGCTTTGTGCAGCCTGCATCCCCTTCTGGCTGTGTGATGTGGGGCCCTTTGCCCAACCTCTCTGTGCCCAGTTTCCTTCCTGTATACAGCTGGAATAACAAGTACATCCCTCTGGAAGGGCTGCGGTGAGGTTTGTCTACACCGTCTGTATAAACCACTCATCAGAAGATCTGGAACAAAGCCAACTCTCTGTAATGGGTGTGTCCATTATTTAGACACAGCCCTCACTCTGTTCTAGCTAATTTTGTCCACAGGGGTCTGCAGAGTCCCCATCTCCCCCTGTCCCCATCTCCCCTCAAAGCAGCACTGCTGCTGGTCATCACAGATACCCCAGGTTGATTGCAGGGGAGGTGGGCAGAGGTGATGCAGATGGGCCAGTGGAAAGCAACATGGGTTGTCCTCAGCAGCTGTACCCACTGCCTTCTAAGAGGACCACTTCTCCTCCAGTGGACATCAGTTGATGCTGTGGCTGATCACTCTTCATTCCCTCTCATCTAGGGAGCCTCTAGTATCTAGTGGGCATAGGGAGGTTGAGTCTAGGGGCCTTTGTCTGAGGAGGAACAGGTGCCTCTGGTCTGCCTCTATTTCCCTCCTCCCTCCTTCTAATTCCAAGGGGGAAGCCTGGTTCAAGGTTTTCACCTGCTGACTATAGAATGCTTTTCCTGACACCTGGCACATCCCTCCAGGGCCAGTGCCAGCACCAACATCAGTACTCAGAAAGACTTTACCTTCCAGGCCTGGAGAGAATTAAGCATCAGCAGGTCCTGTAGTTGTCCAGCCCTTTCCCAAAGCACTTAGATCACAGCACCAGTCCTTCGGGTCTTGGACTGCTATAGATACTGGGGCAGGAAGCAGTGCCCAGCACAGAAGAACAGTGCTAGGAGCCACATGCCTGTGTCCCTCCCCCACCCACACGTGGAAACCCAGAATCCTAGTAAGATGGAGCCTTTGGAAAGTAAGTTGACGTGACATTCGGGAGGAATTAGGACCCTTGGAAGGTGAGGGGACCAGACCTCACTGTCTTTTGTAGCCACATTAGAATTTAGTTGTCCAGGGGACATCTTCAAACCAGGAAGACAGGCCTTATCAGACTCAGACTCTGCTGACCCCATGAACCTGGACTTCCCAGTTGCCAGACTGTGATAAATAAACTAGGGCTCTGTAAGTCATGGGATTGCAGGTATTTCTGGTACAGCAGCTTGAATGGAATAAGTCACTTGGGAACTCAGCAAATGAAAGTGACTGAATGACTTTTTCTAGAAGCTTCTCTCATGTCTTCCTTCCTATCTGTCATGTTGCATTTCCAAGAACCACAACCACTGATTCCTGTGGCACTGAGGTACAAAGCCAGGCAGAATGAACACGTGGGAAGGAAGGCTGTCCATGCCAGGCAGTGTTGCAGTCCCCCCTGCCAAGGGTAGTGGCTAAGTAACCAGGGCTGCAGCTGCACCTCTCCCACCTTCCACTTGGGATAAAGCTATCTCATTATTTAGTCCAATATCTGCTTCACCAAACTTCAGAAAACTGCTTTCTTGGCACCTATTCGTAGAGGAGAGTTTATTCTTAAGAAAACAGGAAGGCATTGCTTGAGTGCATACAGTGTACCAGATTCTTTTGAGTTATGAAATACTATAACCATTCTTCTAGGTTGGTACCATCACTCTCCATTTGTCCACAGTCCACAGATGGCAGAATGGATACCAGACAAGACGGTCTCCCCAAGGTCACATCTCCCTGAGCAATGGACTGAGTTTGGGGCTCAGGTAGCTCTGGCCGCAAGGCTCCTCTTTTTTTTTTTCAGGAATATTGATCTATTTCCTGAGCTCAGCCCAGTCAAACTTTCCAGGACAGCTTTGCTGTGGTTCTTGTGTCATTTCATAGTTCACCTCTATACATGAATCCAAACACTGGTGGAAAGGGCAGCTGGACCCTGTTCTAATGGCACGTTCCTGGGAGTACCTTCTGCCTGCACCTCTCTGTCCCCTCTGCTTTTCACTATGTATGTCCAACGCCAGCAGTGATTTCTCCTGAGAACCAAGAACAGCCAGCAGGAGGAGGGAAGGGGGACGACATGGCAAGGAGAGGTCTGAAGAGGGACCCCGGCTTTCAGCAGGACACACAGTTGGGGCTTCTGCTAGTGGTATCTGCCTCTCTCCTGCCCTCATCACTAACTGCAGCTTTGAGCACCCCTAGTGGAGGTCTGCACGATGGGCCTGCTGCAGAAATCCACCGCCACACAGGAGAGCCAGTACAGTGTGCTCATTAGGGAACAAGACCCAGAAAACAAACCACTTTGTTTAAGAAACATCCTTTTGCCTTGGAAGAGGGAGGAAAGATTGGTATTATTTTCCTAATACCCAGCAAAATTGTGTTACACAAGAGAACTCCTTTGAGCTTGTATAAGGGAGTCCCTGGCTGGAGGCAGCCAAAATGCCAAGAAAAAAGTCATAATCCATAATAAAACACCCTTTAAGCGAATGTAACAACAGCACACACCAGATATGGGGAAGAGCAGCAAATCCAAGTCTTATTGAGCAATATTGAATTTGCTTTATTAATTCAAGGGAAAAGGAAAACCAGGCCTTGCAGTCTTAGCACGAATGTACAATTACTCCCCGTGTGCATGTCTAGACCACAAGGAGGCTCTTCAAAAGCAAGTTAGACTTCACAGTTATTCATGCCTCATTGTGAAATGGCCCAGACAATCACATGCCCTGCATAACACTGCCGAACAAGTCCCCCTCAAGCGTTTCAAATCCCCTCGCTCTGCTGAAAGCAGACCAGTCTGCAACACTGGGTTCTTCAGGTGGTTTTACTGTCTGGGATGAGAGAATATTAGCTTCAGGTTAAAAATAGAACTTACGGTGGAAGCTCAATTGTCTCCAAATGCACCGTCAGAGCTGGCAGTGCCCATGGGCTATGCTGGGTCCTTTCTTATGACTCAGAGGCTCAGAGTCAGAGCCACACAGTTATTAACAAGCCTTCGAAAGAAATGGACTTTAATTGGTGGTGACCTGAAGTTAATTAAAAGTATATGTAGTGTAGACCAGCTGGAAAAATAACATGAGATCTCTTAAAATTTAAAACACACATGCACACATTCCTCCTCCTCCTCCTCCTCCTCCTCCTCCTCTTTCTCCTCCTCTTCATCTTCCTCCTCTACACACACTCACACAAGCAGGGTATACAGTCCTGGTCTTAGATGATAATTCTATATGTTCTGTGAAGACTTTTTCTCCCCAGGAATGTGGTGTCTTCGAAAATGTAGAACTCAGTGGTAGAATCACTTTAGAAAAGCCAGCCAGTCTCTGGACAGTTTTGAGTTCTTCATTGTGTGTGTGTGTGTGTGTGTGTGTGTGTGTGTGTGTGTCCACACAGTTTCAAGAGGGGGCTAGGATGGGGCAGTTTGGATCCAGTTTAATGCCACTGAGCCATTGTTGGAAAGACACAGCTAAATAAGAAAGAGCATGCTGGGTAGAAACCAGTGATTAAAACCAAATATCTGTGCCCATCTTTCCCAGGGAAATTGTCCAGACCTGCTGTAAATTGTGCATAGTACATCTCATCAAAGGAGGGGGAGTGGCATGTTTGTTAAATAAAAGGGGGTAAATCATGTCCTTAACTCTCATTCTGAGGTTCCACATTCAAAGAGAAGGAACTGATGATAAAATGCCTGCTTTATGCTGAGGAGGGCACTCCAGGCCACGAGGAAGAGGAGATGGAGAGAGAGAGAGACCCCGAACATAGGCCTGCAGCTGAGAGCTGTCCGGACTCTCTGGTGCTGAACGCAGGTGCCTGCTTATGGGAGTCCAGAACTCCCCACCTGGGACATGCATCTATTGTGTCCTCCCCCACTGCCCCAAACTCCAGGTCAAGAAGGCGTAAATGAAATGGGATCCAGACAGATAGTGTGCACATCCTAAGCTGTGTCCCCCTGGGCCAGATACTGCGGCTGCTTGCTTTTTAAATTCCCACGTGAGGAGGGAGTTTCTGGGAAGCAGTAAGACCTTGCCAGGAGAAGGCAAGGACCAGATGCCCAACCAGAAGCCCGCCACTCAGCGCTCCCCCAGTGCCTTCAGCCAATCCCTGCAGTTTTGAGGGTCAGCTTTGGGCGAGTTAGGCGCTCCATTCCTCACTCCATCCCAACCCTTCCTGTAACTTTCCTGGGGGACCTCAGCGGGGTGGAGGGAGGGTGTGGCTCCAGGTTCTGGAATTAGGAGCTGCCATCCCTGCCAAACTCAGGCCCCTCTCCCCACACGGTGAACACATGGTGGGCACAGCTGGCACCCCTCTTCATTCCGGAAAGGGTTAGGCTGTAGAGGGAGAAGAGGGGACTTGGACATCCAGGTTCCTAATTACTACCTGTCTTCTCTCTTCTCGCCAAGTTCTGGGAGCCTCGAGACCCCTTCATTCTAGATAGCCACACCCAAGTCCCGTTTCCCCACGCCTGGTTGGAATGCACCCAGGGCACAGCCCCTCCTGACAGCCTGAACCACCTAGAGATCGTGGGACGGAGCCAGACGCACCCAGACTCACGAAGGGAGCCTGGTCCTTGGTGACAGGCGGGTCAGCCACCCCCTCCCTGTCCCTGTCCTCTTCCCGGAGAGACAGAGCAAATAACCTGGCAGGCAGCACCAGGTGCGGCTGGAGAGAGCTGGGGAATCTTGGGATTCAGAGGGGACCCCGCTCCAAGGAGCTCATTGGGGCTGCAAAGGGGAATCTATTCCCAGCCCGGGAGACAGACGGAGACCTGCAGCCCAAGCAGGGAGTCCTTCAGACGAGTCCCCGCCTCCGAGCTCTGTTCCAGCTCGGCACCCTGGGCCGAGGGACACAGTGCCCAGCCCGGAATCCGAGCGGCTGGGCGGGGGTGCGCGTGTGGCCCCGGTCAGCAGCGACCCCTGATCACCCGGCACTCGACACAACTTTGCCCCCTCCTGCCCCGGGCCCTCGAGCGCTTACCTTCCTCCCGAGCTGCCGCGAGGCTCCCCAGGAGCAGGGTGGCCAGGAGCAGCGCGATCCCGCCCGGTCCCGCGGAAAGCGGCCGGGCCGCGGGCATCGTTGCGGCGGAATGGGCAGCGAGGTGGACAGCGGGATGCACGGTGGGATGGGACAGGGGGATGGGCAGCTGGATGGGGCGGCGGGATGGGCAACAAGATGGATAGCCGGATGCACAATGGGATGTGGCGGCGGGATGGGCAGCGGGACGGGACAGCGAGATGGGGCAGCGGCGGGGGCTCAGCCCGCGGTGGCTCTGGCCGAGCTGCGCCGGGCGCTGGCGGCGGGCGAGTGAGGAGGAGCCGCGGGAGGCGAGCGAGCGGAGGGCGGGGGCTGGGGCCGGGCGAGCAAGAGAAAGAGAGCGAGAGAGTGAGAGCAAGCGAGGCGGAGCGAGCTCGAGGAGGCGGCCAAGGGCCATGCGGCGCCGGCGCCGGGGCTGCCTAGGTCCTCCAGCCCTGCGAAGTTGCGGATGCCGGCTGCGTCTCTTCTCTCTCCGCGGATGCTGGGCAGCGAGGCCAGACCTGAGAGTCTCGCGATCCGTGTCCTTGCAAACCCAGCCTGCCTGTTAGCAGCCAGGGTTCTCTCTCCACTACACAGTCCTCTCTCTGGGCCCTGGGGGACTCCCACCCACCCAGAGCCCGGGTGCTTCTAAACTGAGCCCCAGTAACCTAGAAAAGCACACAGAGTGGGTCCAGGCACCCCATTAGAACGATGCACTGATCACGAAACCGTGTTTCTGGTACCAGGCACTTCTCCACTCCAGTGAAGGTGGCCCAGCCGCAGACTCAGCTGAAGACTCATCCATGTGGAGACCCTAGCCCCTTTACCTACATCCCTGCCTTCAGCAGGGCCCTGGGGACTCACCAGGTCTCCTGGCAGCCCAGCTCTGACCCTTACTCTCTCCTCTCCCCCAATAGGAGCTTTGGGTTCAAGTCCAGGCTCTGCCCAGCATGCGCAGTTCTGATTAGAAACTTGTCTCTCCTCCATAATCAGAGGGGATGGTGCAGTGGGTGGGGGAGACAAGCAGCAACTTGTAGCCAGGCGTTGGCCAGGGGCCAGGTAGGGGATGCCTCACATCGCTGGAGACTGACCACCTTGTTCTATGGAGAGTCACAGACCCAGCTGGCTTCCCAGGCCTCTCACCCCAATTTAGAAGGCCTCCCTTCCCCCACCCCACTTTGCCAGCCTCTGCAGTACAGCCCGAGCAGGCAGAGGGAGCAGATGGAGAGAGGGTTGCAGGCAGCGATGAGACTGGGAAGAATATGCCTTTAGCAAAGTGGAGGAGCTGAGACTCCCTAAAAAGAAAGAGGGGGGAAGGGAACACTGGGCCGGTGAGGACAGCAGGAAGAAGGGGGAGCCCTTTAGCCCTGGATCTGGAAAGTCATGTTTGCTATGCTCTCGAACAGGCCATTCATAGCAAGTCCAGACTTGTGATGGGCTCTGAGTAGTGGACAGCCCCCATCGGTGCCAGCCTTGGCTGAAGGAAGCTTCCACTCTTGTGGGTAAAGCCAATAGGGTTTCAGAAAGTGGGGTGTTGAGGCAGGTGTGCAGGAGGCTTCGTTCCTCCTCTGGGGGAAGAGGCATACTGTCTTCCCTGGATGCACCAGGGCGGCAGCTATAGGGATTGGCCTGACCTGGCTCCTGGGGGCTCTACCCTCAGGGCTGGCTCAGTGCCAGCAGTCTGTGGGTCCCGACAGAAGGAAATAGAGAGAAGCAGGAAGACAGAGGGTAAGAAAGGGGAAGGGGGTATAAGGGAGATGTGTAATGACTTCCTTCCTCCTCAGATACCGGTAAAAGAATGCTTATAAGCACCTGCTGTTTGCCAGGCTCTGTGTCCCCATGTGCCTGGCTCCTGTTTCAACTTCATAATCATCAACAATGAGGTGTGGTCATTTCCACTGGACCCTTAACAAAGGTCTCACCAAAGTCTGTCAGGAAGTGGAGGGAAGTGCCTCAAATTCAAGGCTAGGCCTGAGTAGAAAATCAGACCCCTGTCCGCAAACATGCTCCTTCCCAGGACGGAGGTGGCTTTCTCTGATCTATATTTGATACTTCATCACCCCCTCAGTCCCAGCAGGAGGATGGGCTAGGAGGAGTCCATCAGTACAGTCAGCTTTTGGCAGAAGATGGGGGAGCATCAATCACGTTTCCATGTGGACAGAAGTGCACCATAGACCATCAGCTCACTGAAGCCATGGCTGTGCTCTCATTCCATTTGTGTGCTGAACCACTCTGCAGAAAAAGAGGCAAACTGTGATATGAAGATGGGTTACTGAGGGGGTCAGGGGGATGAATTCCAATCAGCAGTGTCAGAACACTCTTTCCATTTGTTTCTTTTTAAAAATGTTTAATTTATTTATTGTTTCATTTTATGTATATTAGTGTATTGCTTGCATTTAGGTAAGTGCACCCATGTCATGCAATGCCCTCTGAGGTCAGAGGGGGTGTGGGATCCCTTGGAACTGGAGTTATGGATGGTTGTTAGCCGCCATGTCAGTGCTGGCAATCAAACCTGAATCCTCTGCAAGAGCAGTCAGTGCTCTTAATTGCTGAGCCATCTCTCCAGCCCCCATTTTGTTTTGTTTTTTTTTGTTTTGTTTTTTGCAAGAAGAAATGCCATCCTGGGAAAAAATAGAGACTGTCATCATTTTCAGATCCATTTCATGGAAGAGCAAACTGAGGTGTGGGGAGGTTAGGTGGCATGCTCAGTATCATGTCCACCTCTAGCCTTTTCAGGTCTGTGCTGTGTGTATCAGCACATTGATTCAGGCCATGGGCTTTGGGTGAGTGTAGACTTCCTGTGTCCAGTGCCACCTGAGTAGACGCTCCTCTCATCTTCTGTACCTACAGTTGACGCAGACCCTTGGGGTTGATGATGTCCCCTTACGTGTTGTCATATGAGAAATCAGCTCTGTGCAGTTAAAATTGGTCTATGAATGCAAAAGGTTAGTTCCTGACCTTAGCTCATCTTTGCAGGAGGCTAAAGGAAAATAACTTACCCTCTCTGAGCTCCAGTTTCCTCCTCTGAGGAGTAAGAAAAAAAAAAACTCCTGCCGTGTAGAGTGATGGATACCACGCAGTGATCTCCTTGTGGCATGATGGACTACAGGGTGCACGTTCACAGGGTGAGAGAGATTTCTGAATGAGTCAACTCAATGTTTGGCCCACAGTCTGAGCAATTGTAATCAGCATCAGCCTATCAACATGAACTGTGAAGAAAATGCCCAGGGTCACTCAGGTGCTTGTGGTCATGACAGTGCACAGACTGCAGCTGGAGCTCTGATTCCTTTGCCTTGTGAGTGACCTTCTGTGAGCCACAGCCTCTCTGGGACTTAGTTTAGCAATTTATCTATCTACCTAGTTACCCACTCTTCTCTCTTCCCACTCACCCACCATCCACCCACCCTTCCATCCAGCCACCATCCATTCACTATCCACCCACCCATCCACCCACCATCTACTTAGCCATCTATCCACTCTGCCATCCATGCAACCTTCCACCTACCCACCATCTGCCCACCATCTACCCACTCTTCCATCCACTCACCATCCATTCACCACCCACCTAACAATTCACCCACCATCCATTCACCAGTCACCTACCATCCACCCACCATCCATCCACCCTGCCATCCATCTGCCATCCACCCAACTCATCCATCCATACTTCCACCCACTCACAATCCACCCACCAGCCATCCACCATCCATCCACCCTTCACCACCTACCATCCATCCATCATCCATTCACCACCCACTCACCCATCCACCCACCATCACCCACCCATCCATCTACCATCCACCTACCATTCACCCGCCCATCCAGCCAGTCTGCTATCTACCCATCCAACCACCCACCCTTCCATTCATCTGCTATTCATTCACCATCCACCCACCGTCCACTCACCATCCACCCACCCTCCCATGCACCATCCATCCATCCTGCTATCTATCCACCGATCCACCCACCCTTCCATTCATCTACCATTCATTCATCATCCACCCATCATCCATCCATCCATCCATCCATCCATTTTGTTGGAGCACAATGAGTGGCACTTGCATGCCAAACTGTGCTACGGGCAGTGAAAACAGTGGATGCCATTTCTTATTCTCTGTGTCTTACTATCTAGTGATGTCTGCCAACTCAAGAGCCCAAGACTGTTTTGACTAATGCTCTATGCCAGGAAAGCAGCTTCAAAGAATGGTCAAATGCCTGGGCTTCGAAACTTGACAAGTCTTAATTTGAATGGATTCCTACTTTATTGCTGTGTGACTGACCTTGAACAAGTGACTAAAACTATTTCAATGAAAGGCTGTTGCTTCAAATTTAATAAAACAATTGCTTAGCACAGAAGATAATGCAATTGTACGAAGCAAATGCTTCATTCACCAGTTTTCTGTCTAGTCTTCCATCTGTACCTCCCACCATCCACCTATCCACCTATCCATTTCTCCGTCTGTCCGTCCATCCATCCATCCGTCCGTCCGTCCGTCCATCCATCCATCCATCCATCTGTCCATCCATCCATCCACCTGTCCATCTATCTATCCATCCATCTACCCACATGTCCATCTATCCATCTATCCATCCATCTATCCATATATTCATCCATTCATCAATCTATCCATCCATCCATTCATCCATACATCCACCTGTTTGTTCATCCATCCATCCATACATCCACCTGTCCATCCATCCTCCCATCTTTTCAACAACTATTGTTTGGGTCTCTACCATGTACTAGACAGTGACAATACATCACAGTGAACGTAGTTAAGTTCCTGCCCTCCATCCTTTGGTATTTTCCTTGTTCAGAACAATACTATTAAGCAAAACATTTTTTAAAGGATTCCAAGTGCTCTAACTTTCACAAGGAAGATGAAGCAAGATGACTTGAGAGTAGAGGAGGTGAGCTCTTTGTGAGGGATGGGAACTGCCTTCTAGAATGGGGAGCATGTGAGCAGAGGAGAGAACAGTGGGAGAGAAGCACTAGACACAGGGGCAGGAGAGTGTGTTCTAGGTGCAACAGACAGCAGGTGCAAGGCCCCAAGACAGACAGGGGAGGCGACACCTGACAGCAGCCATGGTCCCCATGTCTATTGAGCTATTGCCTCAGCTACACAGATCACGTTGAGTCCAGAGCTCATCAGACAGCCTGTACTCTGAGATCCTCTCTCCATCAAGGCCTGGGCTTCCTCACATCTCTGCCTAGACCAAGCATCTTGTGTCTCTATCAGGAACATCTGGATACTGAAAGATTTCTATCACTGAGTGCTAAGCGGGAAGAAAATATCTGC